GTCGCAACGGATAAAAATGAACTTACTAAGTGTATAAAGGCAGGCATGCACGTGCTTAAGCGAATTAACCGAATATCATCCTCGGCTCCGGCAGCTGCGTATGTGGATATTTATTAGCGCCGTCATATGCTCCAAACCAGTTCTCTCTTACAACAAATTGCATAATTTCGCATGCAAATGGGGTAAAAGTATACGGGGACGACGATCGCGCGGAGACGATACGATAATACTTACAGCCGCGCGTATTATTATTTATAGTAAAACGTGGAAAAAGTATATCGAGCTCGTAAGTCACCGCGCAGCTTAGTGCCGCGATATTTTTTACCCATACACGCAGGAAATCTTTTAATTATCTTACATACATTGATTATTTACAACTTTATACTCGGACACTTTTCTTTCGCCACTATACTCCGCAGCCTCGCGATCTTGCTCAACGCGTAATGAGTTGTGTCTCGGCGGCAAATTATTACTCACTGCTCGAGCAGTGTAGCCGCCTAATAGTATTGCGAACGAGATTCGCGACGATATGCGTAAGAAATAAACGACCGATGATCTATTGTATACGGCAACCACAGACGATATTTATGCGCTTATCAGCTGTGCATATTTATCACTTCAATTGTGCGCGTTGACTTTTTACCCCGTGACCCCTCGCCGCGAGATCTCCCGTGGGCTGAGCTGCAGTTCACATTACGACGCGGTGGCTACCGCGCGAAACGATAAAAGGCAGAGGTGACGCGCGACAAAGGCGTACGCGTGTACGATTGCAATTGTCTACGCGGCCGGGTATACATATAAATGCGCTATTTTAACGTTAAGTGCCAACTACGACACTCCATTACGTTATTGTTTCGAGGCGACGCGGCGCTGCTGCTGCTGGCCGTTGGGCCCTCGCGAAACTCCATTGTTGTGCAATATGTCGCTCATTTCTGCGCGCTAATTTTCTCTTTAACGATCCAGGATTCGTAGCCCAGATGTGGTTTTCGTAGGCGGCGGTCACGAGAACACAACCGCGACGCGCGACATATATTAAATCGTGGAAATTGTTTTATACATTCGGCGATAATTTACACCCGTGGCTAGGGAAAACCCATTCGATCGTATTTCACGCGGAGCCAAGCTGAATTCTCTAATTTTCTTTTTAATAATCTCGACGCGTGAAATGCATCCTCGGCTATCTCGGTTTCGCGCGTAAATCATGCATCGCGCGTCAACGTACGCGCGATACACTCGCTTCGCTTCTCGAACTGTGCGCGTTGCTGCGCGCGCTGACACGTCCTACATAAGTGAAAGCTCATTTTCCATATGAATTTTCCATCGATTCCATTGAATTTTTTTCTCGCCTCTGCGACGACGACGAAGAGCGCCAGCGAGAGACGATGTATTGATTTCTAATCTTCTGCGCCTGTGTGTATAGAAGAGATGAGATGGCTTTTAACTAATGGAGTCTTTGGCGGTTTATACGGATTGTTTCAAAGAAATTCGCGACGATGTTCGCGCGGCCAATATCGGTTCCGGTTGAATTTCACCTATAGCGCGGAGACACAAAAGTTGACTCTCGCGCTGAGATACTGTAATTTTAACGATATTATGCAAAGTTCTGTATCTGCGCGATTTTCACTCGCGAAAGATTGGATATGTTCGCACAGGAGAAGTTTTAGCGCGCGCGTGTACGTATGCTCAAGCGAGGCACTCTATTTCAACTTTCAAAACTTATTCGCCAAGAAAACCAGTTAATATATTATAGGATGGATAATGTCCTCCGAAAGACTAAAACTTCGCGAAAAGTCGTAAATCAGACGACGATTTTCCAGGGTTGAACTCGCTCGCGCGCGCAGGCTGTGCGAGACATTTTTTTCACTCCTTTTTTTTTAGGATTACTCGAGCTCGCCATGTTATAATACACGCGTCGAGATTTATTTTTTCAAGTTTTTAGAAAATTATTCATTGTTAAGAGTTAAATATCAGTTCACGCTGCTTTTCCGTTATCGTTAGCAGTCACATTTTACCGAGACAAAACGTATATGAGCATATTGCATTAGAACGAGAATTAAAAGCATCGTATCCCGTGGACGATTTATGACAAAAGATAAATTAATTCGGGACTCGTGCTGAGTGCTTGGGAGGTCGTGCTTTTCGGCGATTTTGACGATATTACCTTTTCGAGGATATCATTCGCCTTTGATCTCTCTCTCACTCGCTCTCTTCCTCTCTCGGTTAAAGTTCCTTCCATTAATTATCATACCGATTTAATTAATTATATTCTTCGGTTGCAATTAGCGTATAGGCTAAAAGCGCCGCGCGCTCGGCTAATATAACGAAGCCACCAGACGCAGTGTGCGATAAAACTGACAAAAAGTTTAACGAGCATAATCCCGAAGTTGGTTTATACGAGAGGAATTGTAAAATACAATATATATTATACACTGGTCAAGGATACATAATTTGGTCGTGTGTATGACTATCGAGCAATTTCAAATTGTATACACACATACACTCGCCAAGTGTATATTCAAGTCAAAATCAGCTGTAAAACCTTGAGCGGAAAATGAACTTTCTCTAATTTTCCATTTTTTTCTCTCGTATACATACGCGTGTGTGTGCGTATACAGTAGATTACATTGACATTGTACAGTGTAAGTATACTCGGTGGCGCTGCGTTATAAATTAATTGAAAAATCAAACTCACTCGCGGCACACATGCGTACAATTATCGGGAAAGCTGGTAATTAGCTTGCGTAGAGGGTTGACGTCTCTCCTGTATAAACCAACATCGCCGAGACTCTCGAGCATATGAAGTCCTTTTATTCGTCGCTAAAAGCTAGATTCGTATACAATTTTCTTATCGTCGTCGTCGTTTTTTTTTTTTTTTAATCATACACGTATACGCAAAATCGTACGTTTGTTCTTGCTCCACTTTTTCGGTTAATTCAGCGCTGCTGCCGCGAAACTGTATTATTTGCTCTGGGTAGAATATTAACTTATATGGTTATGGGCATGCATACGTACACACACACACACACACACACACACAGCACAGGTAGCGGCCCGTATGTGCATATAACTTGTATATAGCTCGAGGTAATAATTTTCAAAGATCTTAAGCTTGCGATTCCGCGCAGTGTATACTATGGTGATGTGCTTTCGGTGCGCATCCCGCGAGCGATGCAAGTGTATTGCAAATTTTTCTGAAAAGAAAATCGCACGAGAAGTAGAGTAGCTGCTTTTACGATGTTTTTCGTTTTTTTATTATTTTTATTCAGTCGTCGAGGTGTATACTCGCAATGCTACTTCTTTTTTTGCCGGTCATTATAAGTTACGAGGCGCGATTAAAGAAACGCGCAAAAGAGTAAGGAGACAACTATTACGCTTGTTAGTAAAAATAAGACGCTCGACGACGCGGCTTAGTTTAGCCGCGACTGTATATATGTACGTAGCTCTCCCCGTAACAAAGCCGATTTTATGTTATAAAATACTGGATTAACATTTTCAATGGATGTACATAGATTGCGCTCGTATTATGGTATTATTGTGAAGAATCGTGTGTGCTGCTATGCAGCGAGTGGAATGCGCCGCGCGGATAGTCCTTTGGAGATTCACTGGATTTAATCTTGGGAGGAAAACTTGATAGCACAGGTTTTCTGTTTGAAAAAGGCGGAGAAAAAACAATAACTCGCGCGATGTAAAAAATAATTAACGTTGAGAGAGAAAAAAGTGACGAAACTCGAAGATCGATGTATATCCCCTTATCGTACGCGTAGCTATTTCAACTCTCTGTGTATAACGAAACCGGCTGCATCTACAAGTTAACATCTTGTATTCCCACCGATCTCGAGCGTGTTCCGCGGAGTCGATGGTCATTTTTTCCCCTTCTATCTTTCTCTCTTTCTTTTCTTCTCTTTTCTATCGTTCGTGCGGCAAATTTATTCTAGGACCTCACCTGCAGCATGTCTCCGACACGAAATCGAAGAAAAATACGCGCGAACTTGAAAGCCGATATTGACCGGAAAAGTCTGTGACCTTCTAACGAAATTATCGACTTTCGTTCGTTCTTTTCTTGTTTACGTATTACCACCAGACGTGAAATGTCTTGCACTTGATATGCGTGAGCTCGTTTTGAGCTCTTTCGGCTCGAGCTTGATATTTCGTTTCACGCACGTGTTTTTTAACGGAATAAGGGGCCAATTGAGATATTCTTTCGATGCCGAAAATAGACTACATTTGCAAAGATTTATTTTAACACAAATATCTCGATAAATTAATCGTATTTTTATACTTGAAAGTTGTATGATGATTAAAAAACTTATCTTGTTTTGCGACAAATAATTGACTCGTTGTGCCGGTTACACATTGAGTCAATACTCGAAAAAGTAATCATTAATTTGAGGCATTTTCAAGCACTTACGGTTTTGTCAAAAATTCTTAGTTAATCTCTTGAACTTTTGGTTGAGTTCATCGTACGTAAAACTTGTGAATAGATCCTTCTATCTTTTTTATTTGCTACCGAGAAGATTTAAATTGGAGTGTATACATTTATCTCGAATTTCTTATTTTGTGAAACAATTTGGTTCATCATCTAATATGCGAGAATATTTCAATTTATCTTCCGAGCCATAACTATTTATTGGTACTAGCCCGACTTTCAGCGTGCTTCCTTCTTTCTTTTCTACTTTTGTCATTTTTTATTTTTAAAATAGAAACATAAAATGAAAGAAGATTATGTATTATAAATTATACAAATACACAATGAACCGACTTTTTTGCACTAGCTCACCATAAAAAAAATCAATTTAAATTAGCTGCTGAATGACCAATCACAGCGCTTATAAACTGCTGACGCTAAAAACCTCGTATAGAATAGGATGACATTTTATGAAGACATCTCTGTATATCATTTTATTTGTTCTTCTCCAAAATCTCCCTCTTACGATACTATATTATATATTGAGTGAGTCGTCGTCTTCATTACATTTGTGTATTGAACTTTGAAACATCAACATCATGAAGAGTCTCGTATTACTGTGAGTCGTCATTTACAATTTTTAAACCTGGAATTTTTATCTATAATAATTCAAATTATAAAATTGTTAATTGCTTTTGGACAGTGTATTATTACTAGTTATGTGGTTTAAGGTCGCCTCCGGCTTAAGAAGGATTCATTATGAAGGAAACCAAAAGCCACATCATCCAAACCTCGAAAGTGTTATTGAAATGTTTAATGAAAATAATTTCGATTTATCACAGGATCAAATTAAATTTTGGTATCAGTGGGAACATGAAAACAAGCGAGAATTGAAATTGATAGTTATCGACATGCTTCTGACAATTTATCAGCAAATCAAAAATGCAGAAAGCTCAAACAAGTCCAACGATGAAGAGCAGAGTATTTTTTACTATGACTATGTGAAGAAACAATTTCAAGAAAAGGAATCTAAACTGTTAAGCAAGAATGAAATTGTAGAAAATCAAATAGGTTTCAAATTTTTATTTGAAATAATCAGAAAAGATTTACGAGCTAACTTGTTGTTTTTATTTTTATTCAAGTACTTAAAATATTTAAATATTTCATTTTTATTTATAAACTTATTATTTATGAACTTGTGGTATCAATTTTTCCGTATAACCTCTTCATTAGGGTTTGTCAAATGACTCATCAGTGTTGCATAAAATTTCTTCACAATAGACTCAATCATTTTATATTTTTCGTTTATATTTTTGCTCTATTTGCAATACAAAGCGCCCATGAAAATTATCCATGTTTATCATACATTCCGAGCTATAATTCGCGTAACGTCAACGTACCTTTTCCAGGTTGCTGCCTTACAATACTTTCTCTCTCTCGCGCGCGTGCGATAATTTACATTCGCGTTGTATTTTTAGTCAATGAGTTTTTGCCTCACGCGTATAAATGAGCATTTGTGTGTGCACACGTACACGGCGCATTAAAGTAACGTTAAGTAAAGCAGCCATGCGCGTGTTTAATTGGAAGCAAATATTCGGAGCTGCTTCAATGTAATCTTGCGAATACACGCGCTTATTTATGCATAAGCGGCGTCAATTTTTTATCACACCTTCGGGTCGTGCGTCGCTTTCCAATATACATATGTTGCTTGCCAAGCTCGACCTTTTTACATGCGGTATAAATACCAGAAGGCAGGGTAAGAGGAAACCCTCGCCCATTTAACGCTACAACACTACACTTTTACGCGTATACTTGCACTTATATTTACCTCCTGAATTGTTGTAATCCGTTTCACATCTTCGCCTTGAATCCTCATCATGCGGCGTTCCACGTGTTTGGGAGAACGAACGAGAGGAAAAAGAATTAATGAAAAGTGTCGCTCAATTTAATCGGCCAATCAATCATAATCTGATTTTCTTTTATAGCCGCTTATTAGCAGCAGTGCATTCGATGCGTAGCGGGAGGTTCTAGCGCGCATCAAATAAGAGAGAGAAAGAGAGAGAGCGAGAGAAATTACAAAAATCAAGAGAGACGATCGGTTGTTCGTTCGGTCGACGTCGATTGTTCTTCGTTGTCCGATCGTCATTATCCATGAAAATTTGATCGATGTACTTACGTTACTTTTTCTCTTGTGTTGGGGTATTATACATTTATACAGTGCAGACGAAAAATGTGATTGATTGCGAATGTCGCTTGCGTATGTATGCACACGGTGTGTCTCGATGATGATGGTAATGATGATGATGATCGTGACGATGGTATGTGTGTCTGTGTGTACGTACGTACGTGTGCGTGGAATAATGAAAGAGGACGATAATCGAAGTTACGGTTTAAATGAATTTTTCAAGCGCGCGCACGAGTGCGATTATCAGGTGAATGTGAGATGGCGGCGGCGGCGGCGGCGGCGGCAACCAATTGCGGGCCAATTACATGATACGGGCCAGGGAGAGAGAGAAATTTTTTTATAAAAATTGCATCGGTATATATACTACATTATATTATGCATTAATGCATCTGTTTCGATGTCAGGTTTCGCGCGTTTTATCGCTCGGTGATCGATGAATCATCGGCGCGAGATTTATATTTCCGAGGCGTTCTTCCGTCTATGTGTGTGTGTGTGCGTGCGTGAATATAATGCCCCCGACACTTTTACACACATAACACTTTATCACATACTTTTCGAAAAATGCACCACACAAATTAATAATACGAGCCAAGAGTGTGTTTTAGCGCTGCAAAATATTCGGTTACGGTCGACTTTTCGACTGGCATGGCGTTTAACTTTTGACGCTTGACATCGATTCGGCGCGGCATTTTTCACCGCTTCATTGATGAATTCCAAAACATGCAAATACAGTTACACCTCGAGCACGAATTCAGTGTTATCCACGAGTTCGCTGTAAAAAATTTATTAATTTTTGAACAATGAGTCGTTGTACGAGCGGACAATTGATTTATCCCATTCATTAAGAGAATGAAATGTAGATTTTTTAAAACTTTGTGTACGGTCTTACATTGTCATTGCTCGAACCGGACCCGCAATTGTATAAGATCATTAATAGATAATTTTTATGTACATTGGTAGTAAACAGTGAATACGTAATTTTTGTTCCGCTGCCCTATTTACGACCATTGTGTAGAGTTGATTAACAAGTCTTATGGAAGGAAGTTAAAATGTAAGAAATTGATTCATTTAACAGTGCCATCTCTGTTTACATAATTTAATACATATTTGATAAAATTTAATATTTATTTGATAAAAAGAGATGAAATAAAAATGGTAGTTTCGGACAACTGTCTATGACGCGAAAAAAACCGAGGTCTGAATAATATAAATTTTAAAAATTAAACTTATAAACTAATGAAAGCTATCGAAACACGAGCTTTTTCTATGCTTATTCGAGTTCTCTTCTTATAATTGTCGAGTGTGTTATACACGTGAAAGGCCCTTACTACGTTTGATTTAAGGTTTCTTACCGCTATTATACAAAGCTCCAGTTACTTTGTACCTTTGACTACTCTCAATATAGATCGTGGGGCAGTCAGTACACTTCACGTCGCCGAAGTGTAAACAAAGTAGGCAGATCGCGCATCGACCGTGGCAAGTAATTTTCGTGAAGATAGTGAAAAATATCTTAAATTTTGAACAAAAATGTTTTTATGTACTTGCTTATTCAAACTGTCGGCCACTTCCGGCGACGAGCCCGACAACAAGTTCGACATCGCCCTGCGTGATTTAAGAAAATCAAAGAGCTCACGAGACAATGGCGATTGCGAGACCGAAGAAGAAGAAAAATCAAAAAGCTCGCGAGAAAACGGCAACTGCAAGACCGAAGAAGAAGAAGAAAGTGCAAAGAGTTCGCGAGAAAACGGCAACTGCAAGACCGAAGAAGAAGAAAGTGCGAAGAGTTCGCGAGAAAACGGCAACTGCAAGACCGAAGAAGAAGAAGAAAGTGCGAAGAGTTCGCGAGAAAATAAGAATTGCCAGACCGAAGAAGAAGAAAGACCGACGACCTCGCGAGAAACTGCCAATCGGAAGACCGAAGGAGAAGAATTCGATTGGATGACCGAAAAAGACGGAGCAATATTTAAAGACATACTTGACACTTTAATCGAAGAGGCTGAAAAAACACTTCCTGATATCGGAAAAATGTTTGCACATAGAAAGATTAATTGTCTTCTCTTGCATTCCGTAAATTACATGGCCAGACCTGGCGCCGATTATTATAAAAAGGAACGATTTATCGAATTTGTGGTCCGTTACGGCAACAAAGACATCATTGAATTTGATAAGGACGGCAAGCCAATTTCTATTCGCCCCACACCAATGCATGACTCGGCCAGGCACAAGTTGCTTCAGAGGAATGAAATGGTCCGTGAGCTCTTTAAAAAGTACGAAAGATCCAAGGTTAATTACGTCGAAGATCCGCCTCTGTATTTGGCTATAAAAAAGGAACTCAAAAACGTGATCGAATTTCTGCTGAAAGTAGGTGCCGATCCGAATTCAGCCAATGATCAAAGATCGACTCCACTGCATCTCATTTGCGCCGACGACGATGGTTTCATGAAGCATTTCTTAGATACCTGCAAGAGCATCAAGAAGCCGGTGCAGGTCAACGCTCAGGACTCCAAGGATAAAACGCCGTTGCACATAGCACTAGTCCGCGTCAAAGAAACACATTACGAATGGCTCCACGATAGGCTGCAGGAGATATGTCTAGAAGCCCAGGATGCGTCGGATCGCGCATCACCACGCAGGACTGTAGTCGATGAATCGAAGCGGTCGGTCCGATTGCTGCTCAGAGCAGGCGCTGATCCAAAAATAGCCGATGCGGAAGGATCGACTGCTCTGCACGTTATTTGCAAGAGAGGCGACGACAACGACAATTTGATGAAGATGTTGTTCGCGATCTGCGACAAAGTCAGGATGCCGGTGCAAGTCGACGTGCAGGACAATGCCGGCAACACACCGTTGCACTTGGCACTGGAAAAAGCCCACATAGCTTTGACTAAGGTGCTGCTGAAACGAGACGCCGATCCGAACGTGGCCAACAATGAAGGAGATAGACCTCTGCACGTCATTTGCAACAGAAAAATCGACGATGATTTGATGAAGCTGTTCCTCGAGTTATGCAAAGACCTCAACAACAAGATGCTGGTGGACGTCCAGAATGAATTACGCAAGACGCCGCTGCAATTGGCTGTGGAGTATCTAATGCCCGATGTGGTCTATGCACTACTACATTATGATACCGATCTGCCCAGCTTCGTTTTTCCCAGCGCGGCTGATTTCCAGGAATACCTGACTGTCAAAATGTTTGAAAGTCCAAGAAGTCGATTCAGATGCGACGTGATCACTGACGCTCTCTTCGTCATCCGACACCTAGTGAGTGCGAAGTACGAATTGTGCCTGAACGAAGCCGTAATGATTATGAGCGTATTCGCCGAGTGCGGATCGTTCGAGATGTCGGCGAGTCTCGTCGAACGTTTGTCCAGGGAAAAGTATTTCTCCATGGAAGCGCAGAGGATACAGACGAGCGAGGGTCTGTCGCTGTACGACCTCATGAAGTTACCGATCGACGAAGCGGCGAGGCGGTTCAATTACAAAGACTTCAAGTCCACGCTCCGGACGCACGGTGTTATGGCCAGAAACGATCGCGCCAAAATCGACGCAGTAGCGGGCGCGATATCGTTGAGAGACTTTTTTCAGGACTGCGCAGTGGAAGCGTTCTGGATGTTGACTCATCAACGGATCCCAATTGAGTGCTGTGCAATGATCATCGACAAACTAGCGATCGAAGATCTATATCGCATTTGCTTGGCGTTTGCAAGTCTGAGTCAATAGAAAGTTGAAAAAAGTGCGTCGAAAAAGTAAGAGCTTAAAAAGCTTCAAAGAAGCAACCAAAATTATGTATGGTGAAAATACTATTCAGGAGTACAAAAGATGATAATGTATATTGTGTATTTGCTTGGCAGTTACAACGAGCATATTTGTAATATTTTGAATGTCCGATACAATGTAATATTGTATATAATTGTATGTAATATTGTCCATATTTATTTCGAATAAATAAATGACGTATATGAATATTTAATTTTTTTGCTTTACTATCGGTATGAGCAAATCCAAAATATAAATATATCCACGTATCCACACTCGTTGAATCAGCGATGCGACACGCTTCTA